GCGCGACGCGACGGGCGCGGGGGCGCGGGGGCGCGTCCGCGGCGTTGGACCAGGTCGAGCGCGAGGTGAAGGACGGCGCGGTGTCGTTCGTCCTGCTCGCCGGTGGGGTCGGGAAGCGCATGGGGGCGGACGTGCCGAAGCAGTACTTACCGTTAATGGGGACGCCGATCGCGATTTGGTCGTTGAAGAAGTTTGCGACGATGCCCGAGGTCGGGGAGATCGTCGTGGTGTGCGACCCGTCGTACGACGACGTCTTCTCGAGCGTTGCGATCGAGAAGCCGCTGACGTTTGCGAGGCCGGGTAAGGAGAGACAGGATTCGGTGTACAATGGGATGCAGGCGGCTCGAGAGGGGGCGGAGCTGTTGGCGATTCACGACAGCGCGCGGCCGTTGTGCGCGCTGGCGGATGCGAGGCGGTGCTTCAATGACGCGAAGACGCACGGTGCGGCTGTTCTCGCGGTGCAGAGCAAGGCGACGATTAAGGAAGTGAATGCGGATTTAAGCATCGATAAGACGTTGGATCGAAGCCGTTTATGGGAGATGCAGACGCCGCAGGTTATGCGCCCGGAGCTTTTGCGTCGTGGATACGATCTCGTCAATAGTAAAGGCTTGGAGGTCACCGACGACGTTTCGATCGTCGAGCACCTGGGTGAGCGCGTGCAGGTAACGCCGGGAAGCTATTTTAACCTCAAGGTCACGACGCCGGAGGACATGTTCATCGCAGAACGATTGATGAAGGAGCAAGGCGACGCCGTGGCGTGAGCAATTCATTTCCAAATTTCTAAGCCAAAAACCTCAAAAAGTTGTAATACAACGCACACGTGAAGACAAATCGTTTGATCATCGCGATAAACGTGCTTTGCGTTGTTTGTTTTCGCATCTTGGTGCCCGTCACACGTTCTTCGCGACAATCGGCTTGCCGTCACAGACGGCGTCGTTGGGCACGGCGAATCGATCGAGCGCAAGGCCGTTGCGCACAGCGGCTTGACACGGGCAACGACAACCGTTCTCGCACTCGCACTCGCACTCGCACTTACACGCGTACGAAATTCCCATCAAGACGAACGCCGCGATCATGAGCGCCAGAGAGAGTTGCGACATGACGCCGTCGACGAAACCGAAGCACGGATCCACAGTGAAAGTAAGCGTACCAACCGTAGTGTACGATCGAGTGGAGACGCCGTACGGTTCGACGTCTGCCGTCATCAAGAACATCGCGTCTTCACTGGTTCGCGAATCGATGTACGACGGTCCCGCCCGTCGTGGAAACGGTCTGGAGAGCATCGTGAGCGTTGTCAGATCTGGCGTCTCGCTCACCGCGGGCCAGAACACGCTCATCATCTCGTCAGGATCCTCGGGCTCGACGGCGCGTTCGCCCTCCATCGGTTCATCGTTGAGCATCACGTTTTCGACGTTTGCGTCGGCGAGATAAGGGTCTGTGACCGGAAACAAGTCCGCGGGCTTCTCCAAAGAGACTCTCGCTGCGAAAGTCTGTTCATCTTCTCCCACGAGCTCCGCATCAACCGGATTGAGCGCGACGGCGCAGAAAACGAGAGCGAGAGCGACACAAGAAGTGCGTACAATCATCATCAATGCCAGAGTCTCACGAACGCGTACGTCACGAGTGAGAGTGTGACGCTCGAGCGTTTCTCGGTAGTCGTCACGAGGCGACGCGACTTTGACAGGACATGTCGAGTTAACTCTTGATAACAGTATCTACGGGTGAATTCAACCCGCGTCTTCGCCCTCGGCTTCATTCTCGCCCGTGTCCTCACCGCCAGCCTTCTTCGCCGCTCTCGCGGCGTCTCGAGCCGCGCGCTTCGCCGCCAGCGCCGCCTTCTTCGCCGCCTTCTCGACCTCCTTGGCCTGCGCCTTCTTCACCGCGTCGTCCGTCCCTTCGTCGTCGTTCTTCCCATCCAGACGCAACCGTGAGCTCGGTGCCGGTGCACCGAGAGGAAAATCTAACGGTAGCAGCGCCGCCGTTCCCGCACCGCCGCCGCTCCATCCGCACATCGTCGAGTCGCACACCATCCCGACGCTCAAGACCCCCCCGACCGTCGTCTTCCTCACCTCCGTCCCGTCCCTCAGCGTCCCACCCGCGAGCACGACGACTAACCGCTTTCCGACCTCGACGTTCGGGGCGTTCGTGACGATGACGTGCGCCTCGGCGTCGGCGTCGTCGGAAACTTTCACGAAGAGCTTCTTCAGTTTATCCTTCCCTTCCACCGGTTCGAGCGACGCGACCTCGCCGCACACGAGATCGGACATCTCGAGCGAACGATCGCGCGCAAAGCTCCCTGGATGCTCGATCGACGCGGTCGTCGACGCGCGTCGCGGAGTGCGCGACGTTGTTCCGAAGCGCACGGTTAATAATCCGCATTTCGCACCGCCGCATGAGCGACGACGCGCGACGCAACGGGCGCGCGATGACGGTTCGTCGACGTGCGTGATCACGTGCGTACACAGAGCGAGGTTTTGACGTCGTCGACGCCCGGGAACGCGTCGCATTCGTTTGATTCTGGATTAGCATTCATTTCAGCGCTGCGAGCTCATGGTTGAGACTATGCGCGATCGAGCGGCCGTGACGCGCGCTCGGGACTCGGAGAGCGACGATGCGGTGCGGCCGTGGCGATGGCGGCGCGGACGAGCGTTCGGGGCGGATGCAAGTGACATTTTGGGCGTCGCGGATCGAGCGGCACCCGCGTCGCGGAGCGGGAGTTGGGCGCGCGAACCTTTGGAGGGCTTTCATCGGACGTTTACCGTGGAAGAAGCGTTCAATCGAAAGAGTGAGGCGCGAAAAATGGAGTTTCTGGCGAAAGAGATGGTTGGAAATCGAGCGACGTCGCGAGAGACGTTGGAAGAGCTCGCGCTGGCGGCACTGATTCCAGCGCCAAGCGGGACGGAGGCCGTGGCGACCTTGGAGGAGCGACTCGATGGATTGAACGAGGCGTTGGTAGCGCTGAGGATTCGTGAGAAGACTCGCAATGAGATCGTCGTCGGCGCTCTGGACGCGTGCGGCGGCGCCATTCGTGGTTTCGAGGGCGTAGTCGATGAGCTTGAGACACGGTTATCGGCAGGCGCCGATGCGGACGAAGATGCTCTGAATTACGTTTTGTCTCGATCAGCGGCGCAGCTGAGATATCTTAGATCGCAACAAACGACGACGGCGAAAATCGCATTGCGAGTCTCTGTGAGTGAAGTGATCACGGTGTCGTCGAGTGAATCGCACAGGAGCGTCGCGACAAATGAGGCGCCCAAGCCGCGTTCAGAAGCGCTGCGGCAGTCGCGAGGATTCTTTACGTGTTGCACGTCATCGAGCGTTGACGTCGGAGATTGTGACGTTGAAAGTCTTTGCGCACCTTCGGAAAGCGCGGTATCGGCTTCAGAGCATTGGGGAGAGTCGTTGAGATGTGTTGTTAGTCTCACGCAGGGCTCAGATGAGACTGAATCATTCGCATCTACGTCTCGCGATTCTTCAGGAATCACGATGATTTTTAACGCAGTGACACCTCTCATGGTGGCAGATGAAAACGCCGTACTCGAACTGAATTTCTATACGTGCGTCGATTCGATTGATCAGACTGACGTGGAGACAAAGGCGACGCCAAACGGTCGCACGCAAAGAGCGCTTCGGGCACCTGGTGTACTCATGACGCATTACGACGATGATGAGACTAAGGGTGATAAGCTCAGAGGACGAGCCACTATACGTGTCTCTGAATTGGCTGAAACGACTCGCAAACATCAGCCTCACGAGCTCTTGATCTCGATCGAAAAGCCGGCGAGTGGGAAATCACCGCGGCGCTCAGTCGGAAAGGCTACTGTGTTCGTGGACAAACTCGTTGAGACTTTCAACGACGAAAGCATTGCCCCGATGCCGGTTAAGGGCGATACTTTACAGAAAGCCGCCGAGATATTCGCAGCTTTTGAAGGCACGCAGACGTACAACCCAAGAGGAATAGTGCACGCGTTCGTTAACCGACTCGGAGCGTGCCCAGCAATCGCAGGTTTGGCTGAGATGTTCGTACTTTGTCGAAGTTGGCGATTCGAAGTTGAATACCTTGAGCGGCTGAGCGTCTGCACCGCGGACGTAGTCGCCGCGGTGTCCGTCGGTCGACTCACGACGAATGAAAAACTTCAGTACACAGAGCTGCTCGAGCTCATCTCGAGGCAGCTGGAACTAGAGTTGAGCAATATTCTTCCGACAGCGAGTGAGGCCGCTGATGAGCTCGTACTCGACATGCAAGCGACTTCAACAGTCGTACCCGCGGCCGTTACTTTGTATGCTTTATCGCTTGGTGATATCTCGATGACGAGACTCGCTTTGCGACTGAAGCGGTGTGTGAGAGACGCAATGCGCCGGCGATGCGTGGAACACATGGTGAGAGAGAACCCAACAAAAGATTCACCAACCCTGACAGATATCATGGCGATGATTCGCAACCTAACGAAGCGCATGTCCATGGATTCGATGCTTCTATCACGTTTCCCAACTGAAGTCGAGGCGATGTCAGAAGCGTCGGTAGTGGTGGCGACGTTCATTCAGGAAGTGTTGACGGAAGTATTTCAAGGGATCGCGAGCATGCAAAACCCACCTGATTATGACTCTGCGATAGCAGAACTTGAAAAGTTGCTATCATCGCACAGAAATGAATTGAAGATCCGGCGCCTCTTTGCGGCGCAAACTTTCATCTCGTCAGGATTTGTGGACAAGCTATTACAACCAGCGTTTGAGGAGACGTTGGTGAGCATCCACCGCGAACTGGTCGTTTGGGTGCAACAAGAAATAGCCAAGGAAAAATCTTCGTTGCAACCTCTCGACGAGGAGCGCGGGATCATGTACAGTGACTCCTGCGCCGAGCTCTTCTGCACTCTCGTCAACATCAACAAGTCAGCTCAAGAGCATATACTTCAAGGACAGCGAGCTTCGTTTAATGCAGGATTGCTGAATAGAATATGCCACGAGATATTGCAGACTTACGTGGACGCCTACGAACAAAAGTGTCTTGAAACTGTCCAGGATGCGCGTTCGTATTTGACACAGAAAGCCCGCGCTAAGACGCACGCTTCCACGGGTGTTGAGCACATCGAAGCGCTGATGCCGGCGGAGTTCTACACGCGGCTTAGCAATATCCATCAAATGGTCCTCGCAATTGAGCCTTTTATGGAGGAAATACCTTTACTGTGGTGCTCGTCCAAGGTCGAGTTTCAAGAAAAGCTGCAACAACATGTTATCGAAACTGAAATTGAGGATGATCAGACTCCACGTTTCGAGGAGTATAACGAAGACGACGTGTTCGAAGAAGACGGTAAACCATTCGGCACAGATATCACCGTGAACCGAATTATTCACAGGCTACGCACAGCAAGAGCAAACGTCATCGCTTCCTTGACGGAGTTGATTGAAGAGCGCGTCGCACCCTTTGTCAGAATTGCTATTCTCGACAGCGACGCAAGAACTCGCTCGACAGCCGTTCGCATCGTGTTCACAATGATCAATTCTGAGCTTCAAGTGATGGATACCTTACTTGCCTCGGGAGCGTTCAGACTCTCGCTTTCATCGATGCACAAAGCAGTATGTGACTCGATCGAACAGTTGGTGTTGCACAGGCCGATTGAAGAGGGCTCGTTGGAAAGCGGTGAGCGCTGGAAAGGATCAACGATGCTGACTGAGTCGCAGCACTCGTTAGTCGTCGAGCTCACGTCGGACGTGCGGACGTTCTTCTATTCCGATGGTGCTGGAGAACCCAAGTCGATTTTGAACGCCAGTGAAGGTCGACTGCAACGTCTGTTGAATTTGTGGTTCACCCCCACGTTAGAGGTTGAGCGGGAATTCTGGCATTCGAAAGAAACTTTATCGCGTGAGATCTCCATGGCGAACGGTGAAGCTGTGCGAGTACGTGACGTCGGGGGAGTTTCGATTCAGGATATTTTGCGCTTCTTGCGTCAGCGCGAAAATGATGTCACCGCGATGAATCTATTCAATGAGCAAGCAAAGGTTACGACGACCTTGACCTTGCGTGCACTGTTTGGCTCCCGTCTGAATAGTCTCGATACATTGCTTGGCGCTTGGGTGTGTCGAAATAGGTGTGGTTTGTCTGGACGACTTTATGTCACGTCCACGCAGTTGGCGTTCTCGACATCTGGTGTGAGCATCGATCATCCGCACGATGGTCAAACGGCTATGGTAAGAGAAATTCGCCGCATTACTAATATTTATAGAATCGATGCTCAGGATGGGACTTCCGGTCTTCACGTTATATTCGACGATCGACGATCATTCACGTTCAGTCAGTTTGGAGGAGTGATGACGCCGTTGAACGTCGAGTCTCGCGAGCGAGATGCTTGCGTCGGACTCATCCGCATGAACCCAAGTTTCTTGGAACGTCAGTCCTACGCGAAGGATGTACAACCCGCACAAACGCTAGACACGATATCAATGGATGCAAGTGCGGACGAGCTAGCCCAGGCCGCGCAAAACTTGCAATCGCCGCACCTCCCGGATGGAGAGTCAATCATCACGCACTGTGTGTGCGTACGAGTGAACGGCTTAGCCAGAGAAATTGGGAAATTCTTTGTGGCGACGGAATCATGCGTTTTCTTACCAGTCAGCGGTGCGGGTCAAGGATTTACTTACACCAGCATGGTTCAGTCGAATCGAAAGCCTGAATTGCAGATGATTGGTTGGAGAAACGCCGATATTATCCTTCCCATCCATGATTACCTCGAGGCGGAGCCTACGATGCGCTTGACGGGTTTGACAAAAATTGCTGCGACGAGTGTGTACAACGACCTCTGCGATGCGCTGACGGCGTACAGAGGCCAGAACAGTACCAGTAGGCAGTTAGTGTGATATCATTTACATTAGTCGTAGTAGCTACCGACAGCGTCCGTGTTCGAGAAAGAACTCTCAATCCGCGCCAAGTTCAACAGTCAACACGGCGAGGTTATCGTCCACAATTGGTGAATAGTATTCAGAGGCGTCTGGTAATATATTTTCGAGTGCATGCAGCAACTTTTGCGTTTGCTTGAGCCACTCAACCGCTTCTTTCGTTCGCATCGAGCGTTCATGTCTCACGGCTCGATTGAAGCAGGTTGACAGCAACCACTGCGCTTCGACAGGGGGATATGACGGATGCGAGGAAAATATCTCCTCTGCTTCGTCGTAAAGCATGTGGATCGCGTCGTCATTCCCCTTGTACACTCGTGAAGAAAGCTGAATGCGCTTTCTCATCAACCGACCGAGTCTTTTCGAGTCCGAAAAGGAGTGTGCCTTCATCACTACGGCTGCTTCTTCGTACGCTCGGGAAACGGTGACCAAATCAGAAGCTTTCATGCATGCTCCCCTATCCGCTATCATGGTCAGAACGCCAATGTACTCAGGGTCCGTCGCCATCATCGAAGATATTTCGTCCACGAGCTTGCTCTGCGATGCGACATCGCGTTGAGCGCACGCAATTTCATACTCAAGAACATAAGAAATTTGTCTTACTGCTTTGTATTTGTCTTCTTCCGCGTTCTTCAGTAAACCGCGCAACTGTGCCATCGCGCCTTTTGAACGAGCCACGTTCGATAATTCACGCTTCTTACGTTCACTTTCATCTTCTTGATCGGACATCGCGTTGTGGCTCGTTAGAGACGCTATCGATAGAAGCAGCGCCACCGCTTGGCGGTACCTGTACTCTGAGCGCTGTTCGTCACTCAGTCCTTCCGGGATCTTATGAAGTTTGGATACCACGAACGCGGAGCAGAACATGAACTGATACGCCGCGTCGGTCGATGCACTCTCGTACGCATCTAAGCCAACATTCCATGAAAAGTCAGCGAGGTACTGCGTTTGACGAGCATCTGCTAGGAGACTGTTGTGTTTGGAAACACGCTTCACGAATTCTTCGAAAAGGTGCGAGGCATCTTTGAAAACTTTTCTATCGTACTTCCCGTTCACTGATGCTTTGAGATGACGCAAATAACTACAAAAAATGAATGACTCTTCTTTGTCCATGCGTTCAGTGCTCGTTCCGTCCAAAATCATATCGTATAGGCTCCGAAACGCGTCAGCAGCGATTTTGTGGTGCCTCGTATCGTCAAGCTCTCCGGCAACGTACAACAAAGCGTCGGGTTCACCGGCTTTCACAAGCGAACATATTGAACTACTCAAGCCTTCGAGGTCCTCAGAGATGAGTTGGAACTTGACGCACAGTAGAGTCGTCGAGACATCCGCTGAGCTCTTGTCTTCCATCAAGCCTTGAAGCGATTCGCGAGCGCGTTCGATATCGTTGTTCTCCAAATCGCACATTACTTGCAACCGTATGACAGGTACTGCGGAGCTGCTCGTGTTCTTTCTCTTACTCTGCGTTGACAGTGGCAGCGTCATTCCAAACATTTTACGCGCGATGGAGTACTTGTTCAGGTTGTACATTTCTGCCGCGGCGTTCCAGGTAATGGCGTACGCGCGTGATTGGCCATCGCGGGTGAAACCGATCTCCCGAAACCGACCGCTATCCGTGAGTAAGCACTCTAGCTGCGAAATGATAAACATTGCACTGGACTCATCAAGGCTTTGCGAAGTCTCGAAGAGAGTTTCAAAAATATCGGTGATCATTTCTTGTCGCTTTTTTGTTGAAAATGAGCTCATCCGTTTCGCCAACGTGCCAACGTTGGAAGCCACCGCGCCGGCACCGTGCTCGCTCCGAGCCATTTTAATACATGATGCGTACAGTACATTGATATCTGCCTCCTTCGCCTGAAGAAGACCCTCTAACACGTCGCAAGCTTTTGACACTTCTCCAATCCCAGCGAAAGCTTCGATGAACATGCTGTCCATCAGGAATGAATCGGTGAGAGCGTGCAAGTCTCGAACCAAGACACTGTCGCTGCCCGTGCACTCCTTCACGTACGAATTGATCGTTTTCAATTTTTCTAGCACCGTCAGAGCCTCCTCGTACGATCTCGCGTGTATGTAAAGCTTGGCGAGACTATGCAAAATGCGAATGAACATGCCATCCGTTCGAAGTAACGTACTGCTCATTTTCAGCGGGTCCATTTTCAGAACGTATTTCGCGTCCGCATCTGAAACGGCTGACGTCGACCAAGAATTCTGAACAATGGCGAACAAATCTCCGTAAGAAGTTTCGAGGGCATCGATGAGAAATCTCACGCGTTTGTCAAACTCAGACCGATTGCTCGACAAGAGCTTCTCGGATACGTTCAGAGTCTCAGCTAGATTAATCTTGGAATTCACCAACGTGGTCATGCACATGACCTCGTTTCCTTTGCTATGTGCACTCTGTGCGTATCGTTGCGCGTCTCGGAAAAAATTCTGTGCCCCGACCATGTCACCAAGCAGAAAGGTGTTCTTCGCGCGTACCGTCTGAGCCTCGAACATCATCAACATGGAATCGCTGTCGAGTTCACCGTTCATATTTGAAAACGTGTTCGCGTACGACTCGGCGATGATGAATTGCTCTTCCGAAGCCTTGAACTCTCCCGCCTCGTGCAACAGCGACGCGAGAGTAAGATGATTCACGATACCCGTGGACAGACTTGAAATCCCGCTCGTAGCATTTCCATCAATCAATCCCGATGCGTGATCCAAGAGCTCGCACGAAACATATCTCATATCGAGGAGTGGACCGACGAACTCCTCGTTCAGCTGCCCACCACACTCAGCCTTCGTCTCGAGCGACGTCTTCTCGATCGAAAAATTCCAGCATCGCGACGACATGTTTCTCGCCAACTCTCTCGATTTGTCCTCGTCCATCGACCACAAATCACGCAGACGCTCGCTCATCTTCCGCACCTCGCTCACGGTCCGCAACACGTCGTTCGCGCTAGACACTCGCTTTGCCAACTCCGAGCGTGTCATCGTTCCGTCAAACGCGTCGCTGATCTCATCCAAGGCGTCTATAATCGGATCCACGCTGACGCGCGCGTTCGGCGTCTCCGATACGCGCCTCGCCGCGCCCGCTCGCGTCGTTCCCGTCGCCTCGTTTGCGTCATCAAGCGACACCCCACTCAGAGATATATCCAACAGCGCGTCCATCGCGTTCGCACGCGCGTCGTCGCCGTCCACGACCGTGTCCACGTCTCTGTCTCTCTCGCCGCCTCGCGAACGCTTCCCGTCCGAGTCGCTCCGCGCTGCGTCGTCTCCCGCGAGCGCGTCGTCGTCGGCCGCCTCGCGAGCGCGCTGTGCAAAGATGTCCTTCCTCTTGAATGGGGACTGGAAACTGCGCATCGCGCGCGTCGAAGAGGGCGTCGAGGTGTGAGGGGTTGCCCGCGCGTCTCGGACAGCGTGGTGCCGGGTTTCGCGTCTGAGTGCGTTTTACATTGTTCTCAAGCGAGCCCAGCCATGGATCCCGCGAGATTGTACGCTGGGAAGACGATGTTGGGGAACTTTTTGGCGAGCTGCGTAAACTCCTCGTAGGAGATGTTACCGTCGCCGTCGGTGTCGCATTGACGCATGAGCCACTCCACCTTACGCTCGATTTGTTTGTCGCTCGACATGTTGGTGGCGCGAATGATTTTGCGTAACTCGCTGGCGTCAATGAAACCCGAACCGTCGAGATCATACACTGAGAAAGCGAACTGGATCTTATTATCCCGTGCGTCGTTCCCAACGTTGGAAATGCCCACGATGAACTCCTTGACATCGATGAGACCTGTTCGATCGGTGTCGAACATGGAGAAGAGGCGCTCGACGTACGGTGTTCGATCGACGTGTAACATGCGCACAAACTCGTTCACGTCCACGCGACCGCTTCCATCTTTATCGCTCTCGAGGAAACGCTTATAAACTTCCTTCAACTTATCTGTATTCAAGCCCTGAGATCGCTGAAACGTCTCCAGATCCTGCATCGGCGTCCCGCTCGGTTGCGCCGCGCCGACATCCATAGGGCGTCCGACCCCCATCGATCCCATCGCCATCCCGGCGTCGTACCCGACCCCACCGCCGTACTGCGGCGGTCCACCGTACCCCCCACCCATCGACCCACCGTGACCCGTGCCCATCGCCCCTCCCTGCGGGGCTCCGTACCCTCCTCGATTCAACGCCATTCCGCCCGCTCCCGGCGCGCCGCCCGGTCCGCCGCGCGCCCGCCCTCCCCCGAGCCCGGTCCCGGCGCCTGCCCCCCCCCGTCCGCTCAGGTGCGCCATCAACGTCGCGAATTCCTCGTAAGAGATCTGTCCATCCCCGTCCGTGTCCGCCATGAGGATCATCTCATCGATCTCATCGTCCGTCGCCTTTTCACCCATGCTCGCGAGCACGTGCGCGATCTCAGCCGCGCCGACGTATCCGTTACGGTCGAGGTCGAACTCGCGGAAGGCTCGACGTATTTCATCCGGAGATAAGAGCTCCGAGCTCATCGACGCGTCGTTCGAACGGGCGCGGGCGGACGGAGGCGGGCGGTGGGGTGAACGGTTGAAAGTGCCGCGGGGGTGCTGTGACTCATTGATTTTGTGCGCGCGTCGATTCGGCGCGTGCAAATGTATCGTACTAGGAGCGCGCGTTACACGGCTATCGAGGGCGTGCGCGCGGTTCACTTGGCCACGGTGCGCATGGTAAACTTGAGCGTGGGCGGTTTCTTGCCGTTTCCGGGCGCGGTGGTCGGGCGCCAGTCGGGCTCGACGCACTTTGCGGCGTCGTACACGGAATCGCGCTCCGGGAGCGGATGGCCGGGGTACTCTTCTTGGATTTTTTTCGCGATGACATCGCGGAGGACGACGGCATCCTTGTAGAGCACGCTCGAGGATTCGTTGAAGTTTTGGCAGTTGGAGAGCATGAGCTCGAGGGCGACGCAGAACATCCACGTGGTCGGGTAGCCGCCGGCGTTGAGGCATTTTTGGATGCTTCCAAGATCGATGGGGTTGGAGATGGCGCGATAGTACTGGGGCAGTTGCTTTCGCGTGGGAAGTATCTCGAACGCCTCGGCACGAGAGCGACCCTTCTTGTCCTTGCACGCGCGAATGGCGTTCAGGACAGTTCTGCAGTAGTCAGTCTCCTTCCTCGTCATCGCGAGCTTGGGTAGTTCATGCGTTGCTGGCGGTGGGAGCTCAGCGCTGTCGCTCATCTCCTGCGGATGGTCGTTCTCATCGTTCAATATGATCTCCTCGTCGGAGTCGACGTGAGTCTTCTCAACCAGTTCCCACACCTCACCGCCGCGCGCGTCTCGGAACACCAATGGATGTTGTCGCAAGAGTGCCCCAAGCGCCGCGAGTGGTCTTCGCGCAGTTGCAAACTCCGTCACGCCCTTTTCGACCATGATTTTGTGCAGTTTGTTCAGAGGCATCGCGTTACCTCGCACACGAGCTAAGATGTAAGACGCGCACTGGAGCGGTTCCTTCGGAAAACGTCGATCTCTGGGAGCGCTTCGCTGCGATTTTCTCGGTCGCACGTATTCTTCGCTATCAGAGTCGTTTCTATAATCGGCGTTCGCTCTTCGTTTATTCATGGTCACCGTCTTCAGCGTCGGGGCGACGTACTTTGGAGGGAAAGGATCGTCCTCGTCCTCAATGACAGCATCGTCCACGGGTTTGTCCCAAGCTGGTTCGTCCACGCTGTCGTACACCGTGATTGACGGGGGCACCGGATGTCCTGGGAATCGCTCCTCCACGGCGTCCAAGTAAGCTTTTCGCAGGACTTCGGAGTCGCGATACAACAATGACGCCGGGTCATTGAAACGCTTGCAATTGGTAAACATCAGCTCCATCGCGACGAGGAAGAACCAAACATTTGGATACCCACCCGCGGGTTTCCGAAGCATACGTTCAATTGACGCGCAGTCAACCGGGCACTTGATGATGTCGTAATACTCCGGCAGAGCGAACCGCGTCGGTAGCCGTTCAAACGGCCCACACAAATCCCGACCATCGACTTCAACCTTACGAACGATGTTCAAGATCTCGTAACACTTGCGACGTTCACTGTGCTTCATGGTGGTCGTCGACGGTTGAACTCTAGTGTACACGCTGAAACCACCAAGAGGGATACGAACGGTCGCCTCTTCGGCGCCGGCGACTCCCGGCGGCCGAACGTGGATGCGGGTTTTGTTCACATCTTCTTCTTCATTTTCATCAGGGAGAAGCGCGTCATTCTCGAGCCATTTGATGCGCTGCATGAAAAGCATGAGCTCTTCAACCTGATTATCGTCGTACCTAACTGTGTGCTCACCGTTGGCCGCGTTGTATGCTTCTACATGCCCAAGGTAGAACACTTCCTCTAGCGGCCACCAAACAGCGATCCGTTGTCCTATGACGCTATCGCCTTTTTCATCTGCACGTTCAACCATGTATGTGAGCATATTGCTACCTGGATTTCCATCTGGAAGCATCACGCGACAAGAGGATTTCCACTTCTTTGAGCTTCCACAACCTGACATCCGCTCGAATTCGCCGGCTCCAACTACTCTGTCCGTGTCTTTGTCGTGCACGCGCTCAGATCGCGTTTTCCCCATAGCTAGCAAGTGTCCCACGTGGCCGTTACAGATCATGGCGATTGGCTCTGGTATTTCCTCCTCCCCATCAAGTTCCTGTATTTCACTCTCCTCGTACCCCACCGCTTCGGCCATGTCGCACGCATTCGCGGATCTTCTTGGGCCGTACAGTTCTGCTTCAGCTTGTAGACGAGCTTCTTCTTCTTCCGCTTCTTTTTGTCTACGCGCACGTTCGCGTTCACGCTCAACATCGCGAACAGCCTTGTCTGCAGACTTTTGGAATGCTTCGAGTCCCTTGTCCACTTGGTGCTCGAATGCACGAATAGCGTCTATTTGCTCTGCCGCGATGTTTCCGAGCATTTCGCGCTTTTCCTCGCCTTCTTCCATCGCGGCGGCCTCCGCGCGACGCTCCATATGAGCCTCCAGAGACTCCTGAATCTGCTCCTCCATGTAGCCAAACATGGTCACGCCGTCTATGTGCTCTGGCTTCCAACCTAACTCCATCGGCTTGTACCGCTCTGATTCAGTGATATTCATCTCATACTTTTCATACCTACCAGTCTCCACCATGCGCTTGAGATGGGAATGAGCTGCGAAAGGAACCGCTCTTTGAGTGCGTTTTTCATCCGGGATTTCATCGTCCATAACTTGCTTGTTCGTGATCACACCAGTGCTCGCGAGGAGAACAAGTTTGGTGAAATGCGTTAACGAAGACCAATCGACGGTATCTATAGGGTAATCCTCAACCGTCTCTCGTCGAACCATCCCGGGAACCTCGTACGCATGCGCAGAGAAGTTTGAATGAAATGTGGGCTTCCCAGACGTTCGAATCCAGTCTTCCTCACTTCGCGCGAGTGCTTGAATTTCATCTTCCGCTTCCTTAATCTCGACTTCGTCTTCGTCTTCAACGATATCGAATTTAAAGTGCGCGTGACCGTCCTCCGACACGTGCGACAAGCTAACCTGAAAACGCTCGCGCTTTTTTTCGACTGTCTCCTCCTTGATCCCGTCAGACAAATCGACAAACTCCACGGGTGTGTTCATCTCATCGCAGAAACCCTTCGGGCGATAAATGTGTCCCATCGTCACGTAGAAAAGCCCACACGCGGTGCAGAGCGATCGCCTGCTGTCCGGACCGAAACGCATACCGTTTGACTGCTCCTTGCTGATGCCGCAGTTTGCGCACGAGTCGCAGACTTCACCCTGCAGCATTTCGTACTTGTCCGTGTCACTCTCCCGCACTTTAGTATCTTTAGAGGCAAATTCTCGTCTGAATTCTCGTTTCTTTCGCTCCATATCGTCTTCATCGACACTCTTGGTGAGCTCGCTCGTGATGTAACCTTGCTGTCGAGGGATTAGCGGCGCCCACAAACGCGCGGACTGCTCGTCGATGTACGTCGGATGGTATGGTCGATTCCAACTCGGTGCCGCGGACCCTATCAACATATCGAGGGCTCGAGCAGCTCGTACGTTCATGAACTCTTCGTACGCCACCCTCTGCCTACGTGAGAGCTCTTTGGGAATGATCAACGCGGCGGCGCTTGCCGTCTCGCACCCTTCCTCGTCCGTGCGCACGTGCCGCTTGTTCTCCCTCAGATCGTCATCCCCCCACACCATGTGATGTTTCCCTTGATCGTCGGTCCACGCGATATACGGCTCTTCCCCAACGTATCCCTCGACGAAGTAATTCCTCGGCAAGAGCGCGCCCGTGAGAAGCCTGTTCTCCTCGTCCGCCGTCCCAAGGCACTGCACGTCCGCGTCCACCTCTATCATCCAGTGCGTCCGCAACCTCCGCTCAATCCGCGTCCCTCGCCAGCTCATCAATCTAGACTCTTTCTTTAACTTCTCAACCCGACTCGACTGCCTCGCAGGCTCCCGTTTCACTCGCGGTCCTCGCCCTCGCCCGCGTCCTCGCCCTCGCCCTCGTCCGCGTCCGCGCCCGCCCTCCGCCTCGCCTCCCAACCCAGCCTCGCTCGCGAGTTTCGCCAGCGCCAATCGCTCCATCAGCGCCTTATTCCGTTCGATCTTCGCCAGGCGCTCGCGCTCGTACTCCGTGAGCTCCTCGTTTCCGCCCATCTCGAACGTTCACGCGCGCTCGGCGTTCACGGCGAATGTTTTTGAAATTCTTTTTTTCGTGAAAAACGCCGTTTCGTGTCGCCACGCGTCGTCGATCACCGCGCGGGCGACGCGTGCGAACGCGCGCGAACCCCTCGAACCTCTCGCGCGAGCGAGAAAACGCGAACCGCGCGCGGGCGTGTGGACGCGCCGGACGTCGTCGGAGGGATTCGTCGTGGACGCGAAAGGGGTCCACGTCGTACTCGTAATACTGGATGAGACGCGGCGGATGAAGCGCAAAAGGACTCGGGGCGGAAGGAAGGGCGAGTCGACGGCGCGCAGGAGCGGCGTACACGTTTTACAAAGGGGTGAAAGGGAAATCGTTCGAGCGCTGGAGCCAATTGGTGGGCTTCCACGCGGCGTCGCCGGAGACGAAATGGACGCTGTAAGCGTGGCGCGACTTCGCGCTGGTGTTCGCTCGGGAGAAGTGCACGTTGGCACCGTGGAGGAGGACGAGCGTTCCGGCCGGAACTTCCAACGCGTGCGCGGCGTCGAGGTCGTGCGTCGGATTTGCGCCGATGAATTCAATCTTTCGCGAGCCACCGGGGTAGTCCACAGTCATGACGCGCGCCACTGGCGGCGTTCCAGGAAGCGCAAAGAGACACCCATTTTCCACCGTGCAATCCTCCAGCGCGAGCCAGATTCCGATGCATGTCGCCGGCGATGTGTTCAAAAAGGTGCTGTCTTGATGCGGGACGACCTCGCCGCCGATGCTCGGTTGTTTGAAGATGTACATTGACTGCACCGGTGTCGGCTTCGACATCGACAATGATTCCATGAGTCGTTTGACTTTGTCTGATCTCGAAAACGCGCGAAACACGTCGTCCAAATCATGCATCGCGTGTCCAATCTTATTGATCGCCACCTCCTTCTCCACCGTCAGAGTGCCGTCTGCGCGCAGCGCTTTTTCCTCAAAGAAACAGCTCACGCCGTTGCCGCTCGCCAAAAAATATTCATCCGTCGTCCGCGTCTGATCCGTCGTGCTGAACACGCTCGCGTGCGACGCGGGATCGAAATCTCTGACGATCGCACTCGCTCGATTCCGCATCGCCGCGCATTCGTCGTCGGTGCACCATCCAGTGAGGGCCAGGAAGCCGAGCCTTTGAAACTCTCGGACGTCGCTCTGGGACAACGCGCCGCTCGTCGAGGCCGCGGACCAACCCTCGAGGTCCCTCGGTCGATTTCCTTCGACCGACATCGCTCGGGCGTGGCGTGAGCGCACGCGCGCGTGGGGGTCTGAGCCGCGAGATCTGTTGCACTTTGTGTTGTTTGTTGCACTTTTCGTTTGCTACCGGTACGTATTAACAAGGATGTATGGTCTACGTGTGTACATCGCTCCAAGAGCGGCGCCCTCGCGGGGGGACTATTGGGTGTTTGTGGATGATCGGCACTCGTGAGGAGCGATCGAGTTCACCCTCGCGGTTGAAAATTTTTCTTGAACGTCTGCGCGACGAGGAGCGGAAACGCGATGGTGGCGTCGACGTAGAGTTTGACCGGTTTGGCGTCCATCGTGATCTTACCCCAGGACACGGCCTCGTCAGGACGCGCACCGGAGTCACTGCCGTCGAACTCCTGCGCCGTGTTTATGAACACGGCGTAATCGGCACCGTTTCGCATCAGGTTGCTGTTGCAAATGTGGTGCTTGGCAACGCCACCGCCGAGGAGGATGATGCCCGTCTTTCTCGGACGTTTCACCTTTATAGACTCGTCGTTCATCGCACGAACGTCAGCAACGACATCAATCACGAGTCCGGGGTTCTTGTAAGAGTGGAAATACAGCATGTCCCCGATGGAGCCGTCGGTGAGCGCCGGGCAGTAGCACGGGATGTCGTTCTTCGCCGCCCAATAAAAGATGGAATCCTCGTGATTAATCTCCAGCCCGAGCCGCTTGATCACCTTCGAGCACGTCCACTTCACTCCCTCCTCGTTCTGCTCTCGAAGCATCTCGTCCAAGATCGGCATGATCCAGTCCTCAAAATCGCAATAGTTGTCATTCGGCTGAATCAAGGCAACTTATCCCACTGCTTCTGCATCATCTGTGTACCTCACTTTTCTGTACTGCATATCCAGCGCGTCATCGCTGTCAACCCCTGCTATTACAAAGGCAAAATCATAATTTTTGGTTGTTATAGATGATGTAAATTCTGGGTGCACACTCGGAAACCAGCTGTTATCTCCTCCAAGCCCCATATGAAAAGCGTCCAAATGTATATTGATGCTTTGTGCGCGCTGCAGCTCATGTTGATGTACACGGCGTGCAAGCTCTTCATCAGTGAAGTTCGACGCACTGAACGAAAAGTTCTCCTTGCTCGTGAAGAGGCACTTGTTTGTACTTTCTGACGATCCTAAAGATAGCCAGCGTGTCCCTTGCCGTGCTCCATTTTCACACGGGACTATGTAAGGAACATGCAATTCTTCAACTGTAGCACCATAACGCCCTAAGAAAGCTGACGTCTTCCTATCCAGATAATTTTCATGTGGACCAAGTCCAAGCCACTCAACCTGATGAAGTTGTTTCGGGCACGTAACGCTCACACCTATTCTTGGAAGTGGTGGCAGATTTCGTGCAAAGTTGAAAGTGCACTTAACTTCTAGATGACCGCATCTAGTGACGGTGTAGCGAGTACACAAAGTGCAAACAAGTTTTCTCTTGGTGGGTCCGAGAGACTTTTGCACTAATAGCTGGAAACAACCGTGCTCATTGATGCGGCTGCTTGTACTCGTCTTATATTCATCCAACTTATTCAAACCTGCATGTGCCCAGCGCGCAGCAAACGAAAAAATGGAACCTCCATTGTCGTTATCTGTAGGCGCGCGCCAAAGGCATGGGGCGAGTCCTGAATCAATCAGCGTCTCGCCACGAAACTGAAACTCAACTAAACTGCCCGAAGCGGTGTCAAATATGTAGGAGCTATCGCGGCAATCTACCGTCAATCGATTGCAGCCTCTTTCCACGCGAACTCTGCTCTCCAGCCTGGGTTCTTTTGAGACGCTCGTGACGCGCTTTGGTAACATTAGCTGGCACTTCGCGATGATCATCTGCGAGTCTGCCCATAGTTGGTCTTCAACAAACGAGGCAGTGATGTCGACCCACCACTCATCGAAAGTTAAGCGTCTTTCCGTAGCTGTTTGTGACAATGATGCCACTGACGGGAAAAGATCAACCCAATCGTAATTTGCAACCATTCCAGGGCCCACTTTGATGCAGTGAATGTTACCAGCTGCAAGTGTATAGCCATTATCGAGGACAACACACCAATGGAACTTCAGTTGATCAAGATCCGTGAAAGCGTAGCGATTGTGAACCTGCACTTGATCTGCTTGCAGAGTTATCATCAAAGGCTGCTGGAGATACTTCGCCTCAAACGAGGCTGGATGAGGTGTTCGATCGGGGAAAAATAAACCATTGATACAGAACTGTTTATCATTTGGTTCGTCGCCAAAATCTCCACCGTATCCCCAATATTGTACTCCATCCTTGGAGCATTGAAGCCCCTGATCGATCAGGTCCCAAATAAATCCCCCTTGCACGCCTGTTTGGTTTCGAAACACGTCAAAATATTTATGCAGCCCGCCGTTGCTATTGCCCATAGCATGGGAGTATTCACATAAAATCACTGGCCGCCAATCTGGTTGTGACGCCAGTTGTGCACACAACAAAGGAGGCGCATACATGGGACAGATGATGTCTGTACAAGGTGTCTTATAGCCCCCTCCCTCGTACTGGACGAGACGAGACTGGTCATTGTGTTTTATCCAGGAGTACATGGCAAAATGCGCGCCACCGCACCCTGACTCGTTTCCGAGTGACCAAATGATGACAGAGCAGTGATTTTTGTCTCTTGCAAACATTCTCGTAACTCGAGCCATGTAAGCGTTTTTCCAAGTTGGCCGATTTGCGAGATAAGGAGTCGAATGTAATCCAAACTCAAAGCCATGTGTTTCAATATTTGCCTCGTCGACAACGTACAACCCATATTCATCACATAACTCATAAAAACGCGGATGATTGGGATAATGCGATGTTCGAACAGCATTAAAATTGGTGTGTTTCATGAGGAGAATATCGTCTAGCATGAGTTTTTCTGATACTGCTTTGCCTCGCACCGGGCAGTGCTCGTGCCGATTCACACCTTGAATAAGAACTGGCCTGTTGTTGATGAGGATTTGTTTGTTTTCCACTCGTACAGTTCGGAAACCTACTCTGCATCCCTCGCAGTCTAGTACTTCCCCTGATTCTGTCTCTAAACTTATCACGAGCATGTAAAGTGTTGGACTTTCTGAAGACCATTCCATGATGTGTTCTAGACTGAAGTGCACCTTGGTCTGGAGATAAACTTCTTCTGTACACGCATCGTGCATTGTTCCAAGATAGGGCATCTTCTGATGGATACGAAAGTCATGCAGACATGCTTGATGTATTTCAACGAAATTGTTATCCAAAAGACGGAGTACAAGAACTTTATTGACTTTTTTGAAATATGCTTCTGTCGTCTCACATATTTCTGCTTGGACAGTCACATCCCATTTGCCTGTTTGATGATCCTGGCACTGCGTGCGAAAACTATAATCTGAAATTTGCGAGAGACACTTGCGATATAAATACACATCTCTGAATATTCCACTCAGCCACCACTGGTCTTGATCCTCCAGATAGCTGCCATCACACCACCGGTAGACATGTACTACCAACTGATTGACTCCACTATGAATGTACCTAGAAATGTCAAACTCTGCGGCCAGTTTGCTATCTTGAGAGTAACCGACTGACTGCTCGTTTACCCAGACATGGAAAGCTGCGTCAACTCCCTCAAATACGATGTACGTTTTATCATGCTTTGCGTTCCAGTCATCCTCCAAGTTAAATGAGTGCCTGTACACACCAGTTGGATTTACAGCACTTATCTTCGTATGTCCCCTCGAGTTATCGCTTGAATAGTCGCTCTGAGTTCTAGCGACCGGTGGGTGGAGCGGGAAAGGATATTGGAAGTTGGTGTATATGGGTCGATCCCATCCCTCACATTGCCAGTTTGACGGCACGTTGATGGAATCCCATTCGTTCGTCGAGAAGTCCATCGCAACGTATTCACCTGTTAAAGATATCGGGTACGACAAAAGTTTAAATTGCCACACTCCGTTCAGAGAACGAACATTACTCAAAGTTAGTCGGCGTTCCCAACAACCTCCACTTCGCCAGAAAGAGACAAACTCGGCTTCATCTGTAAAAGCGTACGTCGTGCCTTTCGCTGGTCTATTTATCCAAGGTCTAAATATTGGTGAACACATTCAAGGGTAGCCACACCATACCTGCGATTACGTCCCACTATCGTGGGATTTTCCCAGTCAGGTATCTGCCCAACTGTACCTTGTTCCTTTTCAAACGTTGAGCGAGAGTCTTTAAAAGTTGCATGTAAATGAATTCGTACCCCGTGGAGTGCTTCTCGTACGTAAACGTCAAAGAACATCGCATAACCAGCTTCGCCTAGCCTAAGAAGGAGACCCAATATCCTTGACGTCCGAAAAACCCAGCAATCATACAACTTCAGTACAGCTCGCAGACCGGTACACCGAAGTACCCAGTGCACGAGAGCTTCCCAGTTGCATTCATAGAGCATCTTGGATTGCCACGCAGTATATCGCTGCGTCGAGTTCCAACAGCCCTAAGCGCTCACTCGAGCGAGGATGGTGTAGCTGTATGGTGCTGGCTGTGTGCGAAATTTCAGAGGGCGGTCTGGAGCGATTTCACAAACGAGCGACGGCGCGAGAAAACGCTCACGTGAATTAAATTCACTTTTTTCGATGCATATACTATTTTCGATTATAATTATTAGGCCGACTAAGAGCACCGGTGATAACTTTGACCATAACTCCGACCTTATGGTGCACCAATGACAGAGTTATCGTCGTTGGGACTAACAGCACAAGGGTTCGATAACTTTACAAGTAAGCGCTGGCGCGTGGTCACCATACGATGTTAAAGATTTGCCTTTAATGCCCGTGACGTGAACAATGTATGTATTGACGAGTCAGGAACCGGAAATACCCCCCTCAAAAGGTATATGGATTCGTGGAGACCTGATTTTCTGGACCCGCGCGCCGGCGCCGTCCGAGCAGTCACTCGATGGCGCGTTGTGAGCATTAATGTGCCTTTGGTTCAAACCTCTCGTTTCAACGCTCGCGGTAGCGACGCGCGGCGCGCGGCAAATTTCGGTAAAATCGAGCAATTTCCGAGCCGCAGAAATTTTTTTTCAAAAATGTATGGGAAAAAGTAGTTTTTGGACGACGGAGAACGCTGTAGACGCTTTCAGACGGCGAGATCGGCAGTGATTGGTGTCGTCACTGTTCACAACGTTCGTGCGGCGTCGAGGCAGGTAGGGTGAAGATGTTGCGCAATTCAACTGCATCGGTCACTAAAGATGCGTTCACAAATTAACGGACATTTGGGCAAATTACGCGAGTTATCGTCAAGGGGTTAACAGCTGATTTCGATAACTTTTCCATAACTTTGACCACCTCCTCATTAACTCAAGAGCTGACTCGCCAAAAGTTATTGACAAACCTTAATTTTGACGATAACTTTCCCCGAAGTTATCGTCAAAATCACGTGATTTCAATAACTTTATGCTAATTTCGGTACTGTTACCCCCATTTTTTCGATAACTCGCCGATAACTTTAGTTATGATCGGTGCTGTTAGTCGGCCTTATTCGTCCTAATTATCATGATCATGATCCTAGCCAACCTAGCGCCCCGCCCGCGTGGAGCATTCTCCTAAAGAGTATCGGCGCCTAAGCCTCACACTCTCTTGTCGCGACGCACGTGAGCGTGGTCACAGATACTTCCGCACAGATTTCCTACAAGAAATCACCGAATCCTTGAACGTTTTTCGACGACGACACTCTTTTTCGCGTGTTCATTTCTCAAATGGTACGTGCAGTGTTGACGCGACGAACAGGGTCTTTGGATACAACGCAAAGATTTTTAAGACATGTACAGTACGTGGACTGACAAACCGATCTTTGGTTAATCTTTGCAGGACGCCATCAAACTGTAGGTAGCATTGCCACGGGTTCCCGCCGGCTCTCGTCATGTCTCATCTTCACTAAGAAACCCTAAACTCACACTTTTGTTGTGCAGAGCGATCGTCATGAAAGTTATCGGCCGGACGGGCTCTCGTGGCCAGGTAGAATAATAATGGAAACGTGCGTTCGCTATTTTATTGACAAAATCTTACAGGTGACACAAGTTCGTGTTAAGTTTTTAGACGACCAGAACAGACAGATCATGCGGAACGTGAAGGGACCTGTGAGAGAGGGTAACTTGATACTACTTTACTTGGAGTTCTACTGACGACTTTTCAGGAGATATCTTGACATTGATGGAGTCCGAACGTGAGGCTCGTCGTCTGCGTTAGTGCACAGGCGAACAGCTCGTTGAAGACACTTAGAACAGAAGATCTACTTCCCCTTTGAAATAATTACAGCGTGAGGAACGCAGATATTCGTGCACTCCCTGTCCTGTGAATTCCCATTTCGTGTTCTATATCGTACAAGCTAATGGCTCTAAACTATTTGCTTCGTGGCAAGACAGTAAACGACCAGGTCGTCCGAAAGAGTTCGAAAACGACTTCGCATCTTCTCCTGTTGAGCATGTAGTAACGCAGATACCGCGGTTACCTGCTCTGCCTGTTCTACCAGCTCGATGCAAATACGTCTGAAAATGCTCGGCTTGGTCGAACGAAACAACGATCGATACACCCTCGATATCTAACCCGCGGGTGGCTGCGTCTGTTGCCACCAAAATACCTCGCCTACATTTCTGAAAAGCGCTCAGTGACTGGGCTCGATGCTGTTGAGAGGCCATGCTACTGTATTCAAAGCACGTAAACGAACCGATCTGATGCAACTGATCATAAAGATGCCTTGCTCGCGTAGCTGATGCACACAAAATTACCATTTTGCTGCTTGAACATGCTTTCAATATTGACAAAAGTGCTGCAAACTTATCACCAGCTTCGCTGAACACAACGAATTCTGAGATGCAACTGGGAAGATCTGCGACTTGACTTTTGTAAATTCTGACTTGATCCGGTGCGAAGATTCGAATCATATGAAGGTCGGTTTTTTTCAGTGTTGCTGAACACAGTAGAATTTGCAGTCGATTTGAGTGTCTCTCACCCACAAACACGCTATCAACTTCTCGCCTCCGTTGCAACCCCGAGTTCAACGTCGCGAGAAAGTTTTGATGGGACTGCTGCAATATTTTATCTGCCTCATCTATAACCAAAAATTCAATAGTTTCGATCGCCGCTCTATGAGCAACCAATCCCCCAGGAGTTGTCACGAGTATTTGTGGGGTGGAGGGTACACTTCGCTGTGACTTGCTGTGACTTGCTGTAGCTTGCATTCGACGGATAAAACGACGCTTCGGCGCCCGGCGACTTACACGTAGTGAATCACAGTTCGGTAGAGTCCCTCTCACCCCTGTCACCCTTACACATACACCAACTTTTGCGCAGAAATGACCAGCGACACTGCATACCTGTGTGGCGAGGTCAGAGCTGGGGAGAACAATCAAACCAAGCGTCTTCTCTGTTGAAGTGCGCTTTGATAGAATATGAATTAGTGGTAACATGTATGCCAGAGTCTTTCCACTTCCTGTTGGAGCCGAGACGCACAAGTCTCGTTCAAATCTGCCTGCATAAGCGCGGCTAAGTACGCTCCTTTGCACCGGGAACAGCTGAGTAAGTTGCAACTCATCAAGTGCCTTCTCAAGCCGACTGTCGAGTGACGAAAACATTTGTGAGTCCGCACGCAGGACCGATCTATGAGAGCGCAGCGTGCGTCGAACGCCTAGTACTAGCGACTGTGGCGGTAGCACACAAGTGACGTGGTGCTTGTTAGCGGTCGACACGGTGTTCACCCAGTTTTCTACGAATTTTCGCAAGGTAGAAACACCCGGGTGTGGATATGCCGTAATGGTCTGATAGTGCTACAATTCACAATGTATAGAGTATTTGGCGGTTCATGACTCGATCAAGGCTGGGGGACTCTCTGAACCCGTGATATATAAATCTTTCCGAAATGCGTATACCAGGAATTTCCTGGCCATCATGATACAAATAGGCGAAATATGTGGACACTTCCCAGATGAATAAGTCACACACTTTATACTGTTTAACCATACGAGGCGTTTATGAGATCTGAGCACTTTCTGACGTCCCTGTGGACTCTGCACGGCCTGAAACAGACACACATCACGGTTTTCGAACTGAGGAGAAGGAAAGGAATATACCCTCTGAGTTTGGGAATATTCCTCGCGGTATCGCGTACGAGTGCTACGCGATCGCGCCCATGCATGGGGCCATTCTGCAGCGCCCAACCGAGCGTGTTTGTAAAGAGACCAAATAAATCTTTTTATTGACAGCAGAATACGTATTGACCGGCTAAATCGTCTAGTCGCGTAACCGATCCCGAGCGAGCTCGCGCCCTTTCAGGGCTAGTAAGGACCATAGGAGTCAAGGTCTTTTAACAGACTAGATCTCTTAAATCCTTTCTAGTCTTGAAGGGTTACTGATATCCGATCACACCAACATCACCATTGCTGTCAGCACCTACCATGACACCGACGGCTACTTGACTTTCTTCTACCTCGCACGTCTCTGATGTCGAATGTGTGCTTCGTCATCGCTCCTCGGCGCGGCGCCCGCTTCGTCGACGGGCGTCATCGAGCGTCGACGGCTGGCGTTTGCTCATAAATCATCAATTCAAATTTCAAACACGTCGCGCCTAAACCCGCGCTGCTAAACCCCGGTCGCACCCTCGCGTTCGCGCGCGCCTCGCTCGTCTCGTTCGTCGCGCGCTCGGTCGTTTTCACGCGCCAGAGCCTCGTTGATGAGTAATAAATCGGGATTTCCCACGACGACGGGCTCAAAATCACCTGTACCAGGAATTTCCTGTTACGTACCAAAATCGGCTGGTACAACACTACTTGCCCATACGAAATACCTGGTACACCGGTACGCTGCAGGCCTACACTGGTACTGTACCAGTGGTCGCAGTCCACGGCCACTTACGCGTTTTGCTCATCCCTAGCCCAGTATCGCACTGCAAACAGAGGAGCGATCTAGCAGCTGCGCATCTGAGGTGACTACAAGAGAAGGTTCAGAATATCTCAGTTGAGTATGGCAGAAGTGAACGAAAGAACGACACGATTGGACAGTCACATGGAGAGAACCTGTGTGAAGGGGACAACCTCCCCTGTTTGTTCCTCTTTCCACATACTCAATTCAAGTTATCAGCTACTTTTATCAAGGGACTGGCGAGGTGAAATAACATGTGCTTGTTTGAGACGCCTAATTCAAAGACTCGCTTACAACTTGGACAATGGTGTTTCGGTACCAATAGTGTTCGATCCGCAAAGTCATGTATGCATGTTGTTCGTCACGCATAATGACATTCTAATAGCTTGCACTGCGGAAACTGGAACCGACTACATGGCTACTTTTATCTTCCTCCACAAACTAATAGATGTATTCAGCGCATATTTCGATTGTTTCATCGAAGAATCTATCCGGGATAATTTTGTCATAATTTACGAACTGCTTGATGAGGTCGTCGATAACGGTTATCCACAACTTACGGACTCAGCAGTACTTGGAGAGTTCATCAAGGTCCTCGCTCATCGTTTTGAGACACCGCATTTGCTCTCGGCCGCAACGACCGCTACATCTTGGCGTAAACATGGCATATTTTACAAAAAGAATGAGGTATTTTTAGATGTGATTGAGAGCTGTAGCTTGTTTGTGGATGCTCATGGGAGAGAAACGCGTTCACTTCTGACAGGAACACTGACGTTGCGGTCACAACTTTCGGGAATGCCAAAGTGTCACCTTAGCCTAAATGAACGAGCTATACGTGCCGCTGGGGTTCACTCTGCAGCAATAGGTACTGGGACACTTGAAGACGTGAACTTTCACCCAAGTGTAGATCTCAGTGCGTTCAGGTCAAGGGGTCTAATATGCTTCACTCCGCCTGACGGCACGTTTGATTTACTTACATATCGAACCTTGCACCCTGCGAAGCCACTTTTAGACATCCATGCGAGCACAACTACAACAGGTCTTAGCACCGTGGAGTACACCGTTAACCTTTCCACACTTTTCAAAGAACAAAACATGGCGAGTAACGTTCGGATTGAGATCCCTGTAGCAGCAGACGCAACCTCACCAGAAATACAGTGCAGTCATGGCTCGGTAGTCTATCAACCGGAAGACGATGTACTAACATGGACTCTAAAGAATGTGAAAGGTAAGCGTGAGTTCAAGTTACAGGCTAAATTACATCTACCATCAACTGGGGTGAAGCAAACACGTAGGAAGACCAGTGTTCCAGTTCGCGTCAGTTTTGAGGTTCCGTACACCACAGCTAGTGGACTGCAAGTTAAATACCTTAAGGTGATTGAAAAGGAGGGTTACACAGCGTTGCCTTGGGTTCGGTATATTACGCGCTCTGATGACTACGCCTTCCGGTTCAGAGAGTGAGTTACAGATGAGCAATAATGAACTACCAAGTTAGCCACTCGTGCGTCAACCTCAACTGGCATACGAGGCATTTTCGTGTACATAGAGCCTCTGCGTTGCAGCGTTAAGTTCATTTGCAGTAAATTGCACAGAATTTTTGCTAACGTTTCTTTACTCTGTTCTGCATGTCCAGCAGCTAAAAGTTTCTCTGCGTTCAGTATCAGCTCATCGTTCATTGTAAATAAGTCACGTCTGCTCTGATAATTTTGTAATTTGCAGTTCCCATGGTCGTTGAAGTACTGCGAAATTCCCCTAGCATTTTCACTATTGAATCGTTGTGATTCACCAGTAGGCAATAGCAGAGGAAGACTTTTAGCTGACTCAAGTCTAGGAGCCTCGTCAAGTTGACGAATCCGGTTAGCCACGTCCCGAGTAAGCTTGTTTGGTAGCATGGCTGCTATCTTCAGGCATTTCATAGTGTAAGGAACATCAGGGTTTCCACCTCCAGCAAAGCGGTTCAACTCCCACAGAAGAGTTAAAGTTTCGGCCTTAGACCACGAAGTCGATACTTTGGCTACTTGTTTCATATGGAAGGTTGCGAAATATGCATACGTGCCGTGAATGTCCGACCAACAGTCCGAGAGAGCTTTCAACTCCGTCGTTCGCAGTGTCATTTAGGGCGGCACGAGCTGGTCCAGAGTTTTTTTGCACCAGTGTACCAGGCAATTCGTATTGGCAAACAGTTTTGTACCAGAACAAATATGGCTCCGCGGGTTACCATCACATATTGTAGTGAACATTTGCTCGTCAGTTTACAAAATCCGCTCTATAGAGCTCGAGCGCCGCTCGTTGGGGCTCTAGGTTGGGTAAAATCGGCATCACGATCTGCATCACGACCCGAAACTTCGTGATGCGCGTCAGCATCACGACCCATAGATCGTGATGCGACCTTGGAGGAAATTTCAAGCTTGCAGCGACGCTCTTCGAGGGGGTGCTAGGGTTAGAACAGTGACACAATTTACTTATCATCGCTGTATTTCCTCGAAACCGGTGCCGACATAGCTTATTATCAGTCACGTTATGCCTATCATGTAATTATACCTGTCAATATCAGCAAATGATAGGCTTTACATGCTCTCAATATAGAATCACGACCTCCGTCACGACATCGTGATGCGCATCAGCATCACGACTCATAGATCGTGATGCCACCAACCTAGTTGGGGCTCGAGCCTCGAGTTAGGGGCGGGGGACTTGCGCAAGACACCCCGAAACTGCCGCAATTTGCATTGCACTTGCATCTTGCAGGTGCAAGATGCCCCCATTTCCAGGGTAGGTAGGAAGACGCCATTTGTCCGAACATTATAAGTATACTGTTTACCCATACGATTACCCTTAAACCCTAAACTAAACCCTAAACCATACGATAATTTGACGCAGGGTGAGTCTTGTGTCCCTTAGGCATTTTAAGAGACCTTAGGCTTTTCTAAGCAAAATGAGACTCTTCATTAAAATGCACGCCGTGTCGACTCTGCGTAGCGCATTGCACTGGAATCAAGCATGTAGGTGTAAAATGATGCTATACACCATTCAACGAAGTTTCGCATCGATCAGTGCACCAACGACGACGGAACAGTAGTTTCTGCGCGCAGCTCTGCCTCCTGCTCTGCCCGATCACGGAAATCGTTTGTCGAGTTATGACTCAAGACATATTTGGGGTAAAAGGGTGTGAAAAGAGGTAAAAAGTGGGTAAAAAACGGGGCAAGGGGGCAAGGGTGGTGGCGATTGGGGGCGAGGGGTACGGGGTGGGCAGACGTCCGCGCGCACGTGTTCGGCACCATGCCACGTAGGCCCGCGGAAGGCACCGAGCGATGGCGGCGCGTGGTAAAGGAGCTCATAGACGTCATCGTCGATGCGATGCTCGACTACGCTCTTGAATTTCACGCCGTTCGGACGAAGAAGCGCCGCGGCCCTCGCTTCTTGCGCTGTGTTGTGCTTTTCAAGGAGAATCCATTCACCCCCCGCGTCGCCCTGGGCAGGTCTTTTCTGTCCAACATCCCAACGCTTTTCCACTTCAATCAAGCGCAACAGATTTTTCGCGGGCGCGAGGACGTCGTCAAAGTCGTCAGTCGCCCCGTACTCGTACTCCATCGGCGAACCGCGCCCTCGCGCGCGTTTTTTGCCCCCGGTCATCGCAGGGCCATCAAGTGCGTCTGCGGCGAGCCTCAGCACGGTCGCGAGGGCGTGCGCGGGGCGTTTTCCGCACACGCCGGACGCACACTGACGGTTTGAGCGCGTCGGTTGAGAGATTGCACTCGTGAGATCAGCGAGGGGACTCGACTGTTCCGACGACTCTGCGGCGAGATCGTCCGATAGCGTGAGTGATATCTGTGTCATCATGGTTCGAGTGCTTCGAGTGCTCTCCGTCGCGGTGCGGGCGCCGACGATGCGCTCTTCAACTTGCCGTCGTCGACGCAATACGCCTCGTGACGATGAGACGCACCCATTCATATGGTCTGATAATCCTTAGATCACCCTAAGGAACATGAGACTCTTCCTAAGGAAAATCAGACTCTTTTTAGGGAACATGGGGTCTCTTATGATGCCTAAGGGACATGAGCCTTCCCGTTTGACGCCGCCGCCCCTGAATCGCGTGTTTGGAAAAATTTATATCACGCCGCTTGGGAGAGTCCCTACATGACTGACGAGTCACGAACCGCCAAATACTTCATACATTGTGAATTTTAGCGTTATCATGCCATTGCGTCATACCGACTCCCGGGTGTTTCCACCTTGCGAAAATTCGTGAAAAACCTGATGTGTGGCGCACACGAGTGCATCCAGGCGTTGCGACGCAA